GAATATTTTTTCATTTCATGTCAACATTTGTCAATATAAATTAAAGACAATATGTCTATGCTTGAAAAAAAGAAAAAATGCAGTAAAAAATTGATGAAATAAGACAATTGATTGAAGATTGAATCTTTGAAGTTGCTAAATACAAAAAATATGATGAATATACATGATGTAGAAGTCAAGTAGAAAGCAAATTAGAAACAAAATTTGGCAATATGTTCCATTTAGAAATTTTGAGTTTTTGCTCTCAAAAACTCAAAATTTTTCAAAACTCAAAACAGATTTTCCACTGATAGGATATAAGTATTTGAATTCATAAATTTGAATAAATGAGATGAATATGACAAAAGGGCTTTACAATTTGATGTGCTTGAATACAAATTTATCACAAAGTAGTATATATATTAATATTTTTTGATATGGAAACATAATAGATTTGAAATATAACACAATATTTTAAAATATGTTTATATTATATTATATTTCTACAACTTTATTAGAATTACTAGTGGAACAAAACGTTGAAATGAAATTTTCTACATGTTGCTTCGTCACAATTGAACAAATAGTCAACTACATTGATAACTCATGTACATCATTGCTTTATAACAACCTGCAAAAATATCAAATTTCATCTTTTTCATTTGTCCACAATGTATTGCATTAATGTGATTCATAAATTAATTGACATAACACACAAATGTGATATATATAGAACAATATTTTTCAAAAAAATCAAATTATTATGTTGGAACCAGGAGTTAACAAATGAATCGTCAATTTTGTACAAACTCCAAATGTCATTAATATTATTTCAATAAATATAAATAAAAAATTTAAAAATTGCGTTTGAAAAAATTTATATAAATGAAATGAGTGTTTTGATCATATATATTTGTTGAATATGCAAAAAAATGTGAAGTTCAAAAAGCAATAAAATATGTACGGTTATCTTATAACGAGTGCAAATTTGAAAGACATAATCTTTCATCAATTTAGTTGTGATGATAACAGGATGTTATTGGTATTGATGAATTATTGATGAATATAAATTTGATGATATGAATAAATTGAAAAATCTTTTTGAATCTATAATTTTGAACAAAAAAGAATGAAGTAATTGTTGATTAGTCTTATATTATATAAAACATATAATGATTTTGGATTAGATTCATTTTTTTAAATTCCAATTTGTTTGATGAATTTTACATTTAGTTTTGTACCCTATGATATAGTAGCAAACATAACGGTGTTTTTTTTTGGGTTTCAAAAGCAGTATTAACACATTTTTTCATCATCTAATCATGCAAAAAATCATCACGATATTTATTGGTACAATTTAAACATGTTAAAAATATATCAAAATGGTTAACATAGATTTTTTTATTAGGTTAAAATCTTAACACATTGTATATATTAGACCAGTAAACTTTATGCAAGCTGTATAATATAATAGGATTATTTATTTTCATACATTATGATGTTACAAAACATATTAAAATGACACTACATTCAATTTGCAATGATACAAATTGATTTTCAGCTCTATATATATATATATACATACATATATAGACTTCATCTATGCAACTTTATAAGAAGTTTTTGAAACATTTTATCGAACGTTTAAAATAAAATGCATTTTTTTTTACATTGTGCAATCATTGAGTGATCTTTGTCATTATTGATGAGGATTCCATGATAAATACCTATGTTATAATGAAAACATCAAGTTTTATGCATTTGATGATTTGATTGGAAAAATGAAAAAACGCGGAGTAAAAGTAAGATTGATAATTTGATAAGTGTACAACGCAGAATTATCCATTTGAAATGTTTAGAAATAGTCGTTTCCCAAAACGCAAAGCTTTGAAACAAATCAATGTCCGTGACTTTGATTTATGATATATTACTTTCATATGCTTTTCAGAGTCATGCTTCGATGTACGAAGACAGACTCATTCCTTTTGTTGTCTTTTTTGGTCTCCCACACAAATCTCTATTTTAGACGTATTACCTCCGCTGCTCTTTGTGTCGATTGTCCATGAAAGTCAATATGGCACCACTGCAAAGTACCGAACGAAGGCGCAATAGTGTTTCCGTCAACTGAGCAGTTATCTCCACCAATTTGAACGTTCGTCTTTCAACAACGTTCTCAGCATCATTGGACCTCGAAATACTCGCATCTCGACATCGACGTTCTCATGACTTCGAGGCCACCTGCGCGAAATAGTCAACGACGCGACGGAGAACAAAGGACGGAGGGGTACGATGGCCCGAGTACGAAATTGCGGCCTCTCTTTTCGGGGATGGAAATCTGCTCACCCGGGAGTGAGTGAGTGATTGATTGAGGGAGGCTTTTGGGAAACAATTTCAGGGCCAGGCGAGGTCTCGTGAGCCGGCAGGGGTAAGTGGGTGAGTCAGGTCCTTGTGTTGCCGTACGGGGTCTGGGAGTCTCCAACAGCTCTCATCCCACAGAGAACATGAGGAGGTCGCCGACATGAGCCGGCGGATATGACATGATGTTCAAATCGCACTCCGCCGACCGAAAATTCAAACTCTGCCGCATCCTCCCGCCTTGTCGTCGCCCCTATCCTGCCACACGTTCGAGGGCGAGCGCAAACATACATTCCTCCGGCCGCGCAGGTTCGTGTTGCTGACGAGACGAGACTCGTTGCCACCCCGGGGTTCGCATGCGTCTGATATGAGGAGGCCGTCTCAGCCTCGTCATGGGCCCAATGAATGGAGGCGAGGAATGCTCAGTCTGCATCCGAGCTCGGATAAGTGGTCTCGTTGTGGGTCTGGTTCGTCTTCTATCGCGGCATTTATAAGAACGCATAACGACAATATCCTTTTCGAGACGTCGAGATGGGTTCATAACTTCGTGTGATTCCTGTGGCACATTTGGTTTGGCATGGGTTGGGTTGGGGACGGGCTTCTCGAATCGAATACTTCGACATGAGTCTGTGATTAAATCTCCGAGTTGTGTTCCATTGTGCTGTGCGAAAGGGGGCTTGTGGATACATTATTCACCATTGAGGCGGTGAGGCGGATTGGATTCTTTTCCCTGGGCTCAGGATACTTCGTTCCTCTTTATGAGTGTGATAACGAGTCGTTAAAGTTGTCACATCGGCTTTTGATCTTGTCTTCGAGTTACTGCTGCCTCCGACCTACAGGTCGGCACTTGAGAGTACTTCCACAGTTATGGCGCATTTCTCTCAGATGTGATGTATTTAGTAGTTTTGCAAAGACTGATCAGATAGTGAGTCGGTACTTTTTTGGCCCCTCTACTGTCGCAGCCTACCATTCCTACGAACTCGGCCTTCTCAATCTACGTGGAGACGGAAACTGGAAGAGATCAGAATAGGTCAAGTGCTCCCGTTGACGAAGATGACGTGACTAAAAACCAATTACTGGGATATTTTTACACTACGCATACGATGTATGGCAAAGCAAGTCGCCGCCAAAGCCGGAGTCAAAGATGCATACCTGATAAAGTTATGAGTTTTTGTAGCACGAGAGACCCCCTATCGTGTCGTGAGAACTTCGTCATCCACCGAAGTAACCATGTCGTTCATCAAGGATATCTTTCTTTGAGTAAACAGGGGAATCCTACAATTACTTTCATTGATATTGAGCAGTTTTTTATTGGGTTATAGAAGGTTTACTCAAAGAGATGGAACTCGCAATGCCCGTCTGGATCAGCGTCGACATCTGCAAGACCGTGCCAAACCATGGAGTTCATGATACTGCCTATGCTTCTTATATTCGTCGATTCTGTTGTCTCTCTTGACTATAATTTGGAAACTAATGATCTGATATCAAATCTATCCGGTTCTCAATCAACCCAATGGTGCAAATGATCAAAGAAATAGAAGCTCCTTGTTGTACAGTTTCTCGGCCATTGAAGACTGGAGGTTTCAAAGCTACATTTGGATAACAGAACGTTTATCTTGATCACTGGAATCTCAGAACAGATTTCAGAGGTTTCAAGAATCCAGTAACAAAGAAAGTTAATATTTTAGTGCAGGTGGTCTACGGATGAAATGTTATGACTCCATTCTGCATATTCTAGGCTTACTGTGTTTGCATGTTTCAAGAAAGCATGTTCCTCGTACTCAGGTGAATTTACTTTCCCCAAGAAGCTGAATATAGATCGAACATTCTTTCTAAACAGAGAAGGGCCTACCAATCCAAATCTATAATGTATTTTCTACCGATGGTCGAATGCTTTTTACCTGCCTGTGCCTTTGTTCCGGCATTAAACTGTGTCTGCGTGTGTCTGTCTGCCTGATTTGTACTTTCTTGTCTTGAAATGCTTCCTCTCCTTTCGGACTGAAGGACGAGTCTCTGACTATTTGTACTTTCTTGTCTGCTATCCCCATATTTAAGTAATCTGCCACCCAAAGAACATGCCTCAGAGACACGTGTTCTGGGGTTTCAATGATGGATGAGGAAACTACGTAGGTCCAACAATTCTCTATGGTGAGAAGACTATGACGATATACAAGGAAAGCAGGTTCATTCTTCGTGCTGAAAAGGATTCTAAGGTTTGATCAATTGGAACTTAATATAATCGAGGATCCTTACAGGCTTTGTCAAACCGAACTTTGGACGAATGAAGATTTTCCATCAGATGTTAAATTAAGAACTCCCAGGCAACAGTTCTGGGTTTCCACCTTACCCGCTAGCTACAGCAGGTTTTGCATAGAAGAGAAATATATGAAGGTACCCATGTGATTGATCAGCTTCCAGACAACGATTCCGACATAGGTACTCGTCTTCGAGCGTGATTCATAACGCTGGGTAAGATAGACCTCGACCCCGAGAGCTGTCCGCACCACTCCGGCGTTGTGCTCTCGGAAGTTTAAGAATTTACCAATGGCTCTCTGTTATTTTGGGGGGCAAAATTGGAAGTTCCTCGTGATCACCTCTGTCCTCTCTTACGACGAGCTCGGATATAGTACGTAGAAGCTTACCAGACACTGTAAGCAAGAGGCATCCGAAAAGAGCTGACACTGTTGTCTTATTTATTTAGAGTAGTCCAGAAGACAGAAGTTCCAGTTGGGGATTCAACGGCCAAGCCTATGCTCGTGTGGTCTCTGGCATGAGGTGAACTCGAGTTCATTACAATGAGTGCCACCCCTCTGGGCCTACACCTACAACTACAATCTCTAATAAGTCAACAACTAGCAGTTGTAAACAGAGGAGGTAGGGAGATCAAATGACATCTATGTTGTTGTAGGCCTGAGTTCTGCCAAGTAGAAGATTAATCCGGAACGAGAGCCACAGTTTTCAAAATCCTGATAACGGCCGGAAAGATGTCAGCAAAGAACTGGAGGATCCGTGTGTTCAGATGTCCCACAAACTTTCCTAACAAGCTATTGATTACTTCCCTTTCTTGAGTTCTGTGCGGAGAGCAAACCTCTTCCGTAAGCGATAGCAATCTTCCACCGTTGGCAGTTACTTCTGCCAAAGCTGCCATAAGGCACGGTGATCGAGCTTCAGTCGGCTTGGATTGCACAAAAGTAAGGCCAAGGTACAGAGCATATACAAAACGGAGCGCCAGGGTCGACAGAAGTCTTTCATGTCTCGGGGAAAATCCAGAGATATAGCACAGCTGAAGCAAATGGGACTATGGAAATTTCCGAGCGTTTAGGAGACGATGTGACTTCGCAGTACGCACGCTCGGCCTCAGAAGAATATACAGAAGCCTTTATCCCGAGGATGAGATATCTGCTGCAACCTCGTGATCAAGAACTAAACCCGTCGTAGCTGCTACGCACCACACGAATTTCTACCACATTGAGAATCTAGCCTTTTCGACGTTCCTACAGCAGATTCGAGCAACCATATCTGTAACTTTTGAATCTCGAATTTACAATCTCGATCAATATTTTTTAATCAACTCAGAGGTCCAACCTGAGGAAAGACCTTGGCTGGACCTACACGTCAAGCATATATCCACAATAGTCACTATAGATAATAGTGACCGTTTCAGAACTCATGCCATTAGCTTTTCTACATTGTACAAACAGAAATACTCCACACAAAAGAAGGGAGTCACCAGATGGTTCTGTCGAACCCTCTTGAATACAGAACAGCTACACTTACTTGCTCGCTATGGGGGTCAGTTAAAAGAAATCAAAAGAACTCTGCAATCGAATTTGGGTCGCAGGTGCTTTACCTATGTGTCTCCATCGAGACCTATTTGCTACTTGAGCATTATGAGGTACCCCACGTGTGGCCGATCAAATACTCTCAAAACTCGGTACAATCAACGCTTGGCTGCCTTCAAAGCTTCAAACCTGGCGGTGAGATCATCGATATCAGGCAGTTTTGGGTGAACTGAACCGGGTGAAGTGTTTGCAGACCCAGAGGCCGAACCAGTTAGAATAGAAGGGGGTGAAGATTCCCGCTGTGTCTCTGGGGAGTGATAAGCTGAAGAGTTGACGGAAGGAGTGGACTTGTAGCTCACAGAATGCTTCACAGGAGGTGAAGCCGCATCATCAAAGGTGCTGGAGTTTTGAGAACGAGATTGCGAATCCTGGGAGTAGGTTCTTGACCTTCTCACAGGAGAGCTGACATCGTCCGAAGTGTCTCTGTTTAACAGAATCGAGTTACCCCGAGTCCTCCTACTCTTGCTGGGGATGGTGGGTTCCTGTTTCAGGGGGCGAGTTTCATCTCCAATCAGTGATCTGGTGTACAGGGGATCACTACCAGCCCTGTCAATACTTTCCGCCGAAGCTGCAAAACTATTTTCTGCAGCAGTCTCAAATAGGGTATCCGACTTTGCTTTCTCCAGTGGTTTCACGTCCTCTCGACCAGAAAAGCTGAACTTTTTGACGAACAGTTCATCCTCCTCGGGAGTCCTATGCGAAAGCGACTCTGTTCTCCAGAAGTCGTTGAATGATGGCTTCAACGTGGGACTCGATACTTTAGCGGTACTGGAATTTCTCTTGTAAGAATCTTCGTCATGTATTGAAGACACTCTCAGATTTCTGTGCGAGGCAGAATATTCTTCATCATCGAATTTTGGTGTTGCAAATCCTGGTTTGGTGTCATAAAAGGACTCGTCAGAGCTCCTTAGATCCACCTCTGCAGAGTCACTCCGTTTAAATAAATTGGACTCTGCAGAATCCGTTCTGCTGAAGATATTCGATGCATCTCCATATCTGCCATGCTCGTTCATTTTGGAATTACTTGACTTCCTCTGATAGTCTATGTCGTCCTCGTCGGCCTGACCAGTAAATATGCCTGCGTCGATCTTCTTTGATATGGAGTCTGATCCCGAGCGCAGAGTCTCGGGGGTCTTCCAAAATGATTCCTTCTCGGGGTCAATCTTCTGCGGAGGTTCGACATCGTACTCCGCTCGACGTTCAGCTCCTCTCTTCCATGAAGTACTTTCCTGCTGCTCATCAGCTCGATCTCCTGAACTCGTCCTCCTGAATAGAACCTCTTGTCGATCATCTGAGTCACTCCTACGAATTCTCCCTTTTCGGTCATCTGACTTGCTCCTTCGGTTTGAGTCCTCTAGACGCTCATCAGAGATGCTTCTCCAGTGTGAGGATTCGTCTCGATCTTCTGAGTTACTTCTCTTCGAGATGCTTGCCTTCGGATCTTCCTGAGTGGTCAATCTGAAAGAGAACTCTTGCTCCTCCCCAACATTTTGCCTGTTTAAGGATGCACCGCTACTTCTGATCTCTGTATCACTTCTTTTCGGAAGACTCTCCCTCCTTTCGTGTTTCAGGGGTTCCCCCGTACTCTTTGACGAATTCCTCCGTCTCTCGTAGAGAAGAAATGGTGCCTCTCCTCCACTGTCTTCATCGTCCGAATCTGACTTTGGTTGCAGACTCGCCCTTCTTGAGCGAGGTGGGCTCGGTGACGATTCCTCTTTCTTTGCAAGCTGGGCTGCAGCTCGGGCTGCAGCCACGGCTCGGTTAGCAGATTCGGCTGCTGCCTGTGCTGCTGCAGCTACATTCTCGTAATTGACAGGTTTCCTATGGTCCCCACGACTCTCTTTCCTTGACTGGGAGTATGAATCTGCTTTAGACACTGACTTTTTTGATTCGTAATTTCCCTCCGTACTCGACGTGTTGGTCGTAGCTGGCCGACTGACACTCGATTTTGGAGGTGAATCAGCTGGCACCCGCTTGCTAGGAGGAGGAGCGGTGAAAGGAAGAAACTGCGGCTTACGAATGGAACTAGCAGTCTGAGGAGGATGATCTTCGTCCGACGAGGACTGATCAAGAGGTAGCATTTGTATCGGGCCAGGAGCAGAGGGAGGAGAGGGAGCTGATGGAGGTGGATGAGGGGGCTGAGGAGGGGCATTTGAAGCTCTTTGAGGAAAAGAACTTGAATCCTTTACACTAGCACTATTAGAAACCAGCGGCGCATCAGGCAGCGGTGCTGAGCTGGCACCATAAAACTGCTTCGGCCCATCCTGTTGAGACAAACATTGCGAAGGAAAGATGAGAAATATCCAAGTTCAAAGCCCCATGCTTTCAGTTGGAAGTGAACAAACAAAATCGTTTCCTTCTCTTACGGATCAATTCGTGTTCAGCTTGCAACATTAAGTTGTCTTCCCATGTGGCGTTGCTAAATAGCCGGATCATGTAATTCAGGCAACCCTCGTTCAGCATGTTCAGGCATACACACTATTTCACCGGTGGGGGAAAAATCCAAGTTTCAGGCAATTGACATACTTGAAGAAGAAAATATCTGAAGATACCGCAGTTGATCTTATATATTTGATAATCAGATGTCTGCCATACAGCGAAGCAAAAAGGATGCTAATTGAGAAGTTCAATAGCTTACAAGCAGATCTTCTGGCCGTTTTAACAGCTCTGCTTCAGTGTCAGCTGGATCCCAGTCAACCTTGTACTCCGCAGCTATCTCCTTCAGCAGTTTCAGCTTGGCTTCGCCTGGGGGTGCTCGGACGGACAATTTCTCAATGATCTGCTCAAACCCCAGATTATGTTCAGTACATGATAACATCTGAAGGAAAGAAAGGGCAGTATAGTCTACAGGGATCGATAACTTTGAACGATGTGAGCATGACCTTGGTCAAGACAGAGCGAACCAACTCCACCGTAATGCACTGACTGTCCTCCGGCCTACAGGCCCTACGATTGGAGAATTTTGATAATTCACAGAAAGACTGAGCGTACCCGTCTATTAACCCCGCATTCCGGACGTAATTCTGCTGCAGCCGCTACGAACTCCTTGCCATACTTGGTGGTAAATAGAGTGCGGATTTGAAGGAGCTCTGGAAGGTCGGCACATCTTGGGGAGGCAAATATTACGCTGGAAATTGCTTCTTTCAGGTCCGCGGGGCATACTCTGCAAAGAAACATAACACTCTGGTTATAAACCAAGAAAATCCTCCGTGTGTCGAGGTTTTACGCTGAATTTTACGCGGACGAAAAACAAGTTACTGTGCAGTGATCACCCCAGTAAAGAGAGAACCAGCTTACTTCTGTGCTTCGATAATGGGAAGCCGAACAATAATCAGCTCACAAAACAGTTCCAGAATGTCATATGCTGCCATGATGTTTTGCTCTCTTGCAATGTGCTCTACCTGTGAAACAATCACGATATTTGAATTAGATCAGCATCTGCGATTTTCTAATCAAGGCCACTGAAACTCGCTGACACTTGAAACGGGTTAAATTGGTTAGGAAGCGGGAACAGACGATAACAGAAGTCTCAAAGGATCGCCTCAGCTGAATGTTGAAACGAATGTCCACGTAAGGTCTAGCAGAGAACTAAAATTCACACATGGTCACCCCTAGTGAACATGAGAACAATAAAAGTGAGCGAGTTACATACACGAATGCGTGCACTTGGCTCCTGTCCTGTTTGCAGAAGCTGCGCGATGTCTTTACGCATCTGTTTAACCGATATATCCCTTTTGTTCCTCAAAAGCTTGATGCGGGACATAGCAAGCCTCAAGAGAGTTTTGCTGCACAAGGAGAGAAAGGAACATCATTATAACCTCTGGCGTGAATCGTAAGTCAGAATATATCTCTAACAGTCAGCTGTATCCGTTTACCACACTGAGGGTATTGAGTCGTCCTCGAAATGGCGAAGGGATTAAAGGATGGTGAAGAAGAGGAGGATGTTACAGATAAAAATAACTTGGAATGCTTGAAACAATGAATTCCAAAGTGCGTAATGTTGACAAGGAACAGGCTCCGGCATGCACTAGAAGTTGTTGAGAGGGCACTGGAATCGAAACTTGCTCAAAATCATTGCTCTCGCAGGGACTGACACATCATATCGTTAGAGTTGCTTCAGCAGACATGCAGACTTTGTCTCGCAAAGCTGATCTAGTGCAAATCAACCTTCTGCCTCACAGGATCCCTTGATGGTGACGAATAAACAGGATAATCTCATTCGATCCAACCCCTGGCAGGACTGCAAAGATAAAGCTAAATGCATCCGATCGTGAGAAGAAGACTCTGAATCACCTCCGGTGCTGAAAACTCCATCAGCGTAGCACGGAACACTCAAGAGGAAACATCAAAACGTAAGCCAGGAGCGGAAAGCCTACCATTTTGTCGCCTTGAACCCGCCCCCGAACATCGAGCTCATCAACCGATCTCCGCTATGGCAAAACGGCAAGGGGACCTCTCACACACTAATTCCTGCTCTCCCGCCCTTCACTCCAAGCGGCGAGCCCACCTACTGGGTCAAATTCCAACACGCAACCTAGAGTGCCCCGAGAAAGTGCTGTACCCGCTTCCAGTACCAGCAACACTGAAATCACCTTTCCACAATCCCCAACGCGCGGCTTGCTACCCTCTGTATGCCTGAGGCCTACAATCCGCAGGCCCAAAATTTACTTTCGTTCCGCACAACCAAAACCCAAAGCTTCCCTTCCCTTCCCTTCCCTTCCCTTCTGCTCCCCTGCGGTCGAGTCGACTCGCGCAGCACCTCGGCCCCGCAGAAATCGAGCCCGGTCGATAGCTCCAAGTCACCAGCACCTCCCTCGTCCTCTCGTGCCTTCGTCGCTGCGCTGCGCTGCGCTTCTCTTCCCTTCCCTCCTCCCTTCGCTTCTCTGGCTTCCCCTCCTTCGCGTCGCCTGCAAGCACCGTTCAAATCAGACCACGGTAGGCGCACGCTGTCCAAATGTAATAGTTTCTTCGCCACGTTCGGAAAGGCTCGACCCTCGTCCTTTCCGTCCCGACGCGTCGAACTTCCTACCGCAGTCGTGGAGGCGAAGGTTTACCCATTCAGCGACGACTAGGTTCTCTCTCTCTCAAGGCTTCTCCTTCTGGGCCCCCAAGAAGGAAGCACGAAGGAAGAACCCCGTCACTTCAATGGCCCTCCCTCCCTCCCTCCCGCCCGCCCGCCCGCCCAAAGCGCAACCACGGTTCCGTGGATGCCCGAGGCCGAGTAGCCGACGTTTTCTGCACATTCTCCTACGTGGTGCTCCGGCATTACTACGTCCACGAGCGGGGAGACCCACTGTCGGTGACCTCCGGTCCGGAATATGCCGTCTCCGAGAGGCTTTTGCATGGACCCACTCGGCGGTAGGAGGCACTGCCTCCTACCGCTGGTTACTGCCTCCGAGGCAGTGACCAGCAGATACGGAGCCTGGAGTCGTCGCTTGTTGCTCCCCCTAGAACCTGACATTCTGACATAGGTAGCCTGCCTGGGACCGGTTTACCGGGACGAGTTTAGATGCTCACAAACCTGGCAGGCTAACCACGTTCATCCCCCGGACAATTACAGCTTACGACTCTGCCGGTGCAGATAAACCCCATGGGCTTCACATGCTCCTTCCCGAGAACGGACGGAAAGAAACTCCGACTGTTTTGAGTACGTGTCGCACACCGAGCATGCGAGGACGTTACGATCTTCTGACCTGAGTCAGGCGGGACATCGGTTTGAAAAACGGGTGATTTCCTGGAGGGAGCCGAGGATCTGACCGTGTTCTGACCTCTCGGATGCCGAAACTTATACTCGGATGTCAGCCGAAATTCTCTCCCGTAATTTCATCGATTGACCTTTCTCTCCGGACATCTCTCCCTCCCTCTCCCTCTCTCTGTTTCTGTCTCTGTCCGGACGATCGATTTCGGCTGAAGTGGGCGGACCGGATTAGTGAACTAACCTGAGGGTTAGGGCCCCATAACTATTCCACCACCATGCCCTCCGATCTGCTTCCCGGTTAATTACGCGGTTCCCGCTCCTGCAACCGACGGAGCCTGGATCTTTCGAAATAGTTTCTGCCAGCGACTGCGGGCGGGGGGCCCTCGAGATTCAGAGCTTTTGATATTGAGCTCTTGACATTTGGATTCGATTCGATGGTCAAATTCGAGGGGGAGCGTTCGATGTGAGGATGGTGGAGTGATTTGCCACAAGCGGAGTGCGTATTACGGTTTGGGAAAATGTCGGAAGATCTCCCGCGCGCTAATGTGAAGCGCATCGTGAAAGCGAAGCTGCTGGAGCTCGCTGCTGCGCACTACGGTGACGAGAAGACCTCCAGAGATCTGCCGATTCACAAAGATGCGTTACTGGCCTTCTCGGAGAGTGCCAAGATTTTTATTCACTACCTATCTGCAACGTACGATACTGCCTTACGTGAGATGAGACTTTGAGTTCATGATGTCAGATGTGATGAAATTTTGACAGACGACACGTTCTTAGAATGCGTACGATGGATTTTGAGTACTGTTTCACTGGGCGGGTCAGTGTTAGAATAGTAAACCTCATCTTCTGTAATCAGGACACTGAGTCCTCGCGCTGTCAAACTGCTAGCAGATGTGATTCCGTGGTCGTGCGTGTTGTGGCTTCACAGGCCCAGAGCATTAGGTTTTAAGTGCACTGTCGGCCTTGTGTTAGTATGCAAATGTGCACCAAGTTAGGATGACCGAAGTTTGCACGCCTCATCAAGCACTGTTTGTCAGCAAGCATATAGTCTGAGCGATGATTCTGTAGAATTCTTCTAGTTTCTGTTTCTCATTGGTAGTTTTTGACACAGTTTGTCGCTGAAATCCTTCGACATAGCAGCATCTTTTCGTGCGTACAGTACTATACGGTTTTTTGTACCCACCCCTAGGCTTGAGTAGATCCGACCTCTGTCTCTGCTATGGGCTTTTCTGTGATAAAGTTCAACATTCAGCTGCAATTAGTTTTGTTCTTTTATCTGTACCTCCTTGGGAAGTTTTATTGACTCAAGTTTCTTTTCAGAGCAAATGACATCTGTCGTGAATCCAAAAGACAAACAATCAATGCCGAAGATGTACTGAGGGCTGTGGAAGAGATTGAGTTCGGCGAGTTTGTCGAACCTTTGAGATCTGCACTTGAAGGTAGTTTCAACCTGCCTTGTTCAATTTGACAAAGCAAATTCTTGGTCCTTCTGAAGATAATTGGAAAACATGTGACACCAGGAGAACTTACAATCTGACAACTGCGTTTAAGCGCGTTCTTGAATGTCAGGCGCTAGTTGTGTGCTGCTTGTGATACAAAATGTGAGTATTCTGTATGAGATGTATGTGCATCACATTTTGGCGGAAGTTGATATTCCTGATTTGATCGTGACATAACAAGACATTTTTTGACAGTGTATCGAGAAGAGAACCAAAATAAGAAGGCACAACGAGGGTTTGCCGCAAACGGTGGCAAAAGGAAGCGAAGAGCTAGTGATATAAGCGCCCTAAACGGAAATGAAGATGGAGACGAGGCCGACAATCAAGGAGAAGAAGACGAAGGCGAAGGAGAAGATTTGGAAGACGACAAGGAGGAAGAGGCAGATGGAGAGGACGGATCTGACACTTCGTCATAGCATCATCGATTATGCTGAACGAAAGTTCTGTAGTCACCATTTTGTAATCTAGGTAGAAACCTGTGAAATAGATATGAGAGTAGCAGAAAACTCAAGATCAATAGGTGTATTCTACTTGTACATAATGCTAGGCGTCCAACTTAATTTGGTCGCCAAGCCTCACTCAGCATTTTCGTCCCGGAACCTTTCACAGCGGAGACTTATTTACTCCCTGGTGTAGGTAACCCGTGGTCCCTCCCAGAATAGTAGACAGCTCTGTAGAATCAAGCGACTGAATCGTTGTATCGTACTTTACATTCCATGGTGCCGAAATATCACACCACAGCTTATTGAGATGGAATGTTTACTGAATGAAGGGGTCCTTACGCACTCTCTCTTCTATACAGAGGACCCTGCTAGATTTTGTCGACCCATCGTTCTTTTGTACCAGAACTCATGGATAATAAAACTCAATTCAAACCACTCTCGACCGTGTGCGCCTGTCGACGAGTGTATTTAACCAGGAGTGACAAAATATTGGTTTTTAAGGAAGGCCTCTTTTGACCTCTACCGAAATCACGTTATCATTATACGCCCTGTCATATAATTCTTAAATTGAGAAAATTAGCTGATGGGACCCCTCGCAGCTCACCGCCACCTATATTTTAATACGAGTTATTGTAACCTTACGGTTGCTAATGATACCTAAGTGTTGCCGTCCGTTTGATGATTTATAAATGACTTTCGTGAAGAAATGCAATTGAGAACAGCAAGTCGATTAATAGAAATACTCATGATCACTTTGACGTAAATTAATTGAAGCTGAGATCGTACACCATCTCCCCTGGTTTCTTATCATACTCATGATCGTTAGGACAGCTCGTTGCAGATGTTTTATCCTTAAACTTGTTTTAGAGAGCTCTTCTATTCTCAAGAATAGTGTTTGTGGGTGGCTCCTTGGTGCATTTAGAAGTTTTGAATTCTCACTCATGAAAGTTCGTAACGTTTCAAAATCTTAGTTTGAATTGTAATCTAGTACAGCCAACCGGATCATAAAAAATGTCATGCACACCTTGACACTAATACACTGAAACTCAAGTCGCACTCTTTGTCTCTCCTTATACACATTTTGCCTCCTCTCGTTAAGATGCTTTATCCGAAGACTTTGTTTCGAGTTCTCTTTGGACTGAAACCCAGGTCGCGCTCTTTGTCTCTCCTCATACACATCTCACATCCTCTCGCTGCAGATGCTTTATCTGTGGACTTTGTTTCGAGATCTCTTTGAACTGAAACTCAGGTCGCGCTCTTTGTCTCTCCTCATACACATCTTGTCTTCCCTCGGTTATCATTCTGATAATTAGAGAGCTCGTTGCAGATGCTCCATCCGAGACTTTGTTTCGAGATCTCTTCAAATCCCAAGACTTCGCTCCTTGTTGTTGGCTCCTCGGTGAGTTTCAAAATTTTGAATTCTCAACTAGGAGAGTTTGCGAGCGTTTCAGGAGCTTGACAGGCATCTGTTAAGTACAAGCCGTCAACTGAGATCCTCTCATTACAATAGATTTTAACTAACCCAAGGCTCGTATTGGAACATGGGTGCCGATAGATGGTCTGCAACGGCGTCTATGAATTGTAATGGTCATGAGCCATGACCATTACAATTCATCGGACTGCAAGGCCGACATGGGATGTTCCATCGAACAAAATGAATCCTATTGGGTCGCTGTTTTGCGTTCCTCAGAGGACTCATCAAAGAATTTTCTCTTAAACCCGGTGTTTAGATGATTGTGACCACCACTTGTAATTCACTTTATATAATGAATACCGAACTGTAGAATCCTACTTTCAAAACCCAGGCCCTCACATGTACGTCCTCGGGCCTGTCCACGGACACGCTTAGATAATGTCAATTTCACGGCGTCCATGTATTTATGGGTTTTGCTTGATTATCTAATCTTCCATCAACCATCGCCCCATCCTACGCCCTCTTCAACAGGATCAAAACCTAGTTGAAACCCTCCATTGAAAGTTTGACATATACTCTTGCTCCTCTAAAACACATCCCTTGACAAAGCCGAAGAGACAGTAGGGATAAAGCTGCGTGGACGCATGCCCACGTTCCATATAGCCTCTGTTCAGCCTCTGAACTCCTCTCTATCTCTTATGGATTCAAAGCTAGTATATGCTTTTCTAACTGGCCACTCGGTATTGTCATTGAGTATTTATAATTCCTCAAGTAAATGGCAATTTCTTCAGATCGTAAGTATTTCAGAAACAAAATTTGAGCACTTACGTTGCAAATTGATTTGCCTGTCTGCACTCTGCACTCTGCCCTCCGCTTGCCTGCAAATCAAATTCAGATATCATCTACTTCATTTGAAAGGCATTGTCTGAGTGACATGCCTTTCAAATCTCATCATAGCCACTTTTCAGCTCGTAGTGAGTACTTATACTCAGTCTTTCTCAATGCATATATGCACATATCCATATGATCTAATTGCAGGATACGAAACCCCCCATCACTCGACTGAGCTCTATTCGTTGACTTCCTTCATTACAGTTTGAGTAACCATCGGATCCCTGTGCTGAACCGAGGAGGATAGCTCCAGTTGTTTAAAATCGTTCACCCTAGACGATCTGACCGCTCTAAAATTCAAACACATGAGGAAGGCACAGAGTGCTGGTCTCCAACAAGTTCCAGCTTCGTCCATTCTGTAATTGACTCCAGTGGTAGGGGAGCAAAGCTCCCTGATGGACCATAAAAGTGGGGAAAGCAAGCTCCATCGGCCCCTTCCCACCTCAAAACTCCACCAAGCTTCGCTACATCGACTTTCAGAAGAAGTAAATCACTCCTACCACGATAGAATCTTTTCAGTGTAATCGGTACCTGCTGAGCAGAGCTGAGATGAATAAATACATCGTCTGCTTTCCCGCCGTAGAAACCTCCTTTGCTGCGTGCAGCTTCCCACTCCTCTTCCGGAGCAATCCTGTACACATATGAAACCTTTGGTGCTTCATAATCGACCATCTGACTAGCAGCTGCGGCGGCACACCTCCTCTTAAGCTTTTCTGTGAGGGAGCGGATGATTGTCTTCGGCGCCTTTCGATCAACCTTTAAGTCAATCCTCTTGGCAGTCGCGCAGGCCTCGTTGTACAAATTGACGTCGAGAACAGAGTACACCTCTGCACCTCTGGCAAGGTTCTTCCGAATTCGGAGCTCTAAGAGTGAAGATCGAAAGTTGGAATTGAGTGGCTAACTCAAAAATTGCATGTAAGTAAATGTACATACTTTGTTTCCACGAGGAAAATTCGAGTAGGTTAATGGGAGATTGATGTACCCGAGGTCATAGATTTCATAGCCAACGAGTGTATGTCAATGTCCATCCCTATAGTGGTCGCCCAACTCGTAGCGAACTTCCGGCGAGGAGTGGCAACTAGTGAGTGTGGGCCACTGGAAGTCACTTACTCTGCCTACTGCAAATCCCCGTAGATACAGAAATTGGGGAGCTACAACTAATGAATAATCCCGTTATTGCGACAAAACTGCTGCGGAAGACATCATAACAACTGCACATCAGACCGCAATCTTTTTGAAACTTGGACCTTACGTTGTCAAATAGAGATGGAAAGATTGATCACGCAAAGGCCCATGAATATTCGGAGCCCTGTGATTTGCTAAATAAATAGACGAGTTCTGTTTCCTTCTACGGTTCTACGGTTCTAAATACACTTCATAATAATTCTAATAATGAAATATTATATCTTTGATTTAAATAATATAACAAAATTATATTAAAAAATGAATTAACAAAACGTATTGGAAGACAATCAGACCATTTTATCTATATTTTCTCAATAGTGTTGTAAAACATTGCAAATTGCTTTCATAAATTATGCCTCTCCACATTTAATCTTTGAATCTTTTCATCTTTGCTTGTTCAAAGATTGTTCAACTCAACTTGATCCTACTACTTTGCTTATTCTTCATCAACTTTTTGCTCCTTCAACCCACCATTGCTAAAGCTTCAAAGATTGATAATCTTGAACTAGATAATTTTTTGCATAAGATAAAACATCTTAAGTATTTTTTCTTCTATGTGTTTCATCTTGGAACATACACAAGTGCAATTTTATCAAAATACATTAAACAATAAGATCAGATGATTTTATATCATCTGTTATCTGAATCTACAATGGATTTATAATTACCTTGTGGTCCTTTTTACATTATATCAAAATATATTGATATCTTGAACCACAACAATTTATAAGTTTGTATCACTAAACTTAATCCATCTTGATTTCATATTTTCTAGCCAAGCTCAATTATTTAGTGTTTTTTGCATTAATCAGCTTCACTCAATCTAATGCCATAATATTGTATATTTTATAAATATATATTGAATCATCTCGTCAAGTAGATCTCATGACCATGACACTACATAAAAACCTTTGTTTTATTCATTTTTGTTTTGTTATTAAGAGTTGAATAAGGAGAAAATTTTCACTTTATGGAACACATTTTTTCACTTAAAAGAATCAACTGATTCCATACTTAACATGTCTCATGCTTTTTTTTATCAAATTTAGCATTGTATACCATATTGTCACACTCAAATTTAATACTTGTGGCATAAGAATAACTACTTCATATGATAATTCCAAAATGTGTAAATTGATTACAAACAAAGTAGCTATTTGTAAAAGAAAACTATATGAATATCTTGTACAAAAGATGCTTATATGTTTAGGTACTTTAAAATTTCAATCTTTAAAGTGCCCAATGTCACATAGTGCTACATTACTATATCATCAATCTTTTATCTCACACAATTAATTGAGGATTGGACATGCCATTTAACATGAAAATCACTCGAGTCCATTGTAGTCATGCACAAAATAATATTATTTAAGGTTACAAGTAATAACAATTTCACAAAAGCGTAATCATGAATCAAGTGTCTAAACATATGGATTACATCTTGCTGCTCTTGCAATCATTGATATAGCATCTGCAATGTTAGTGAAGATTTTGTTTCAATTGATCACTAACTTTTTTTATGATGATGAATTAAAATCAAAAGTGTATGTCAGAATTTCTGATGTAATGAGGTTACATTCGTAATTTAACATCAAGGTATAAGATCAATTAGGCATTTTATCTGTTTGTAAAAGATAACTAATGATTTGAATCACATCATTAACTTAATTTTTAATTTATATATTAAATGTATTTATCTATGTTGTAATCATTGATCATTTCACGAAGTTTTGATCCAGCATTTTTGTTCACACAAATTCAACTGATAAATTTGATTATTTATTTCATTCAAGTGAATTAATTTTCTTCCAAAAACCTAAGTATTAAATTAATACAATGATAATAAACTTAATGAAACTTTATTATCAGATGAAAAAAAATCAAACATAAATGAAATGATGATAAAATAAATTTGGATTTTTTGTTTTTTTATTTAATGTAAATTTGTAATAAAATTATAAAATTTAATATATGTATAAATATTAGA